AGGTCGGCGAGGATCTCCTCCTTCTCGCCCTCAAACTCATACTCGTCCATCACGCCCGAGCCACGGAGAACCTCCGGGCCCTTGAAGGCGAGTGCCGTCACGTCAAAGTTGATCACCGACTTGAACTTGTTGTAGTAGATGACGTAGCTGGGAGGCGGGGGTGGGGAAGAGCTGGCAACGCGCTGGGGTAAGCGGGACTGCCAGGCGGAGAGGCAGGGAGGGGAGGGAGGGGGGGGGGATATGCCAGCGGCGTGCCATGCACACCTGTCGGCTGACGAGGCAAGCATCTGTTCTGCTAGGAACGAGGCGAGCGAGAAGGTGACCTTGCCGCCGTAGGCCTCGTCGTAGGTTGTTTTGAAAAACTTGCTGTGCGTGCGCGTCATCGCATCTCGCCCCTTGCTGCCGAGCATGAGCACCTGCACCACAAAAGCGGCGGAGATCGAGAGTGGCCGCCTCTGGTCTGGGTGGTCAGCTGCGGTAGGATGCGGGCTCCAGTGTGCGCCGCCGCTGCAGCAGGGTGGCAACGCACCTCAGGCGACTCAACGCCCTTCCCCACGTACGCTTCCATCCCGAGCTTGACCTCCTTTGCCATCTTTGAGTTGACGCCGCCGCAGAGGCCCTTGTCAGATGAGATGGCCAGGGCCAGCACCGTGGAGGGCGTCTCGTCCTCCTCCTTGACGCCGATGTGGGGCATCATCAGGCTCTGCACTGACGCTGCGAACGGCCGCGCCTTCGCCATGTCGGTCTCAGCCTTCTTGAGCTTGGAGGCTGCCACCATCTTCATCGCCTTGGTGATCTTGGAGGTGGAGGTGACCGACTTGAGGCGCTTACCAAGGTCCTTGACCGACGGCATGGCTCTGGTGGCGGGAACAGGGTGGGCAGCGTTGGTACTCAGTGACACAGCGCTGCGCAGCTGCGGGGTCCAGTCTGCAGTTGCTGCGCATTGTGCGCACAGATCGTGCGCGCTCGGGGGGGAGGGGAGGAGTGCGAGGGGCAGACGAGATGGCGCAAGGCGGAGAACGGAGGATGCAGGAGGGCCTGGGGGGCTGTGAGGGACTCGGGCTGACGGAGTGCGCGCCTAGAGCGCGCGCACACGCGCGCTCAGTGCCCTGCGGCTGAAACTCTACGCCTCGGCGTCGGTCGGCGTCCAGGTGTGAAGGGACAACTACAAGTGAGTCTATCGGTAAGCGCGGGTTAGCGCGGGTTAGTGCTCACTAACCCGGCACGGGTCAGCACGGGTCAGAATGGGTTACCATAACCCGGCACTAACCCGGCACTAACCCGGCACTAAGTTGGCACTAACCCAGCACTAACCCATGCGGCTGGGGGGCATACGTCAGCATGGGTTATGGTAACCCGAGACTAACCCGGCGCTAACCCGGGTTAGTCTCTCCCTCGGACGGCTTGGCTGCAGCTGCCCCTTGGTGCTCTCCGCGGCAACGCCGTTATCGGTAAGTTGAGCGTGTAAGGAGTGAGTCTATCGCGTATCGGTAAGCGCGGGTTAGCGCGGGTTCCACACGGGTTAATCCACACTAACCCAGCACGGGTCAGCACGGGTTAGAACGGGTTACCATAACCCGACGCTTACCCGGCACTAACCCGGCACTAACCCGGCACTAACCCGGCACTAACCCGGCACTAACCCGGCACTAACCCGAGACTAACCCGGCGCTAACCCGCGCTGCTCGGGGGCATACGTTAGGATGGGTTAGTGCCGGGTTAGCGCCGGGTTAGCGCCGGGTTAGCGTCGGGTTATGGTAACCCGTTCTAACCCGTGCTGACCCGTGCTGGGTTAGTGTGGCTTAACCCGTGTGGAACCCGCGCTAACCCGCGCTTACCGATAGACTCACTGAGAGTAGGTTCCTACGCGCGCGACCGGAGTTTTTTCCAGGGCACCCCAACATGCTCACTCGCAGGCTCTCCACCGCGAGCCTGGCGTGCCGAGCCCGCGTGCAACTCTCCTCGCGGTCTGGCCTCAGCACGCTCCGCCTCGGCCTGTCGCCTCCTCGGTCCGGCCTCAGCACCGTCGTCGCACCACCGCCTCCGCCGCCTCCCGCCGCGGCGGCGCCGCCCGAGGAGGAGGACGCCCGCCCTTTCGTCGTGCGCTGGTGGAAGTCGATCCTGTTCTGGTCGTTCGTGGCTTCGTGGGCCTACAGTCTCATCCAGCAGAACAGATCCCGCCGCGGGCTCGACGAGGAGGAGGAGCGCGTGCGCGCCTGCGCCCCGGTCAACGCTGACGAGATCCTCGAGCTGCGCGCGCTCAACGACGTCTCGAGCGACACGCTCGCGACGCTCGCAGACGTGGCGGGCGCGGGCGCCCGTCACGACGGCGCAACGGTGCCCCAGGTCCTCGCCGCGCTCGCG